GCTCAAGTCTGTTTTCTCCACCTGGAGATATTCTCACTATTTCACTTTTGTCGAGCACAAAGAAAATAACGTTTTAGTTAAATGTCAAGTTGTGTCTTGGCGGGTCAAAGATCCTATCTACTGCCCAAACCAGTAATTCAAAATATCTTAAACACATTCTGCAAAAACAACATGCTGGGACGAAGCTAGTAGCTAAGACCACAGAGACTCAGCCGCACGCCACTCCACCCTCCACCCAAGCAACAGCGGCCTGGATTTTAACCAAGGGACTGCTGGCCAGGAAAAGTCGATAAAGCCATGCACGGTATGTTGTAGACACATGCAGGCTATTGCTACAGTGGAGTCACCCGCTTTCAGGGAGCTAGTTAGCATGATAGCATGTCCGGGCGGCACACGGCATATGGGACGGAAAACTTTTTCCAATTACCTGGAGAAAGATATACAAAAATGGAAAGCCAGCTAATATCGATGCAATCCAGATTGCATATAATGCATGTCAAGTTGATCAACAGATTGTCTTATTCTCCAATGCAATAACAGTACTGAAATGAAGGCTATAAGGGCATTAATGGGAGCCCTTTTTTCAAGTAACGAAAACGTTACTTTTCACAGTAACGCATTACTTTTGGGTGTAAGTAACTAGTACAGTAACTGAGTTACTTTTGACATGAAGTAACTAGTAATGGTAACTACACAGCAAAATCAGCAGTGCTAATTTAACTCTTATAGAGTCAAATCCAACACTTTTAAAGTGTCTATATAGGTCCACACTGTTTTGAGTTAAAACTACACTTTTGAAAGTGTTAAAAGGTTTACACTAGGACAGAGTTCCAGCAACTCTCTCTATAGTTAAAATGTAACTCTGGTCAACACCGGTCAGTGTTAAATGTACGCAACACTAACTTGCAGTGTCAAAAGTTAACACCACAAGTGTACATTTTTAACACTAAATAGAGTTAAAGTCATATTAACACTATTAAGGATATAAAATGTAACTCAATATTTAACTCTTTAGAGTTGATTCATAAGCACTGTAGGGTGTCAATTTATAATTTCACCTACACACAATGCAACATTATTAATAAAAACGATATAAAAGAAAGACACAAGCCAAGTTTCAAAGTTTGCAGTTAACATGTAACTGTATTTGTGTGAAAACAACACATACAACATAGTCTTACATTAACATTCCACAGTACGTCCATGCAGTCCTTAACAGCACAGGTTACACAATATGACAATGTGGCACTATGTATGTTTTTCCATCCATCTCATTAGAAAACTGTTTGTCATAGGGTCTATAATAACGTAAATCATCAATAGAAATAACAGAAAATGAATCAATCGTCTCCTCAATACAGTATGAACTATAGTGTTCATCAAAATACAGTGTGTCCACTTTGCAAATCAAAATGAAAGCTTGATCTTCATTTAGAATGATATTATTGATTTTTCCAAAAACAGGAGTTTCTTTATCAGTTCTTATGGAAACAAACATTCTAATTTGATAATCAGTTCCATAGTTCTTTACCCAGTTAGTAGTTGACACGTCGCAGTATGCATTCACCTTAAATGCAGCACTTAAAGCCTCACCACCCTCCAAACTGTCGATCATTTCCTTCCTGACTGGACCAAACTCGAACCTCTGAAAATTAAAATTCTCCCAGTGATAAGCCAAATGTCTTTGGTGTTGTTTTACTAAGCTTTTTGTAATGTTTTTGAAATTCTTCACTGATCTTTAAAAAAATTATGTTTGGCCTCAAATCTCATGCACCATACATGGAGGAGTGGACCTATTTTTCGAATACACCTTGGATAATGTATCATAAAATGATGCTTTGGAAGAAGTCTTCTGTCAGGAAACAAAGATTTGAACAGCTTGTGGTGATCAATGATTAAATGCTTCAAATAATATGTCATACCATTTGTAATAATTGGTGAAAAAACAATATTCACAATCTGAATCAAGAGGAGGAGCAGATTCCAACAATTGTTGTTTCTTTCAACAACATCACCAAGAATAAGGGGAGCATTTCGCAAGAGACACCATGACTGAATTGCATTCAATCCAAGATTTTTGCTCTCATCCATTTTTAAACCACTTGGCCTGTTCCGTCTCTCAGTATATCCGTAGTTGAAACTTTGGATCCTCATTGACAGTGTTTCCAGAGATAGACACTTCTTATTGACAAGGTACTGAAATACAAGTTTCAGTTCGTACTGCACTACACCTTCAAGCAAATCGTGCATGATGTCCACCGCGTAGTTATCAGAGGTGTGGAAAAATGTTAGTGTATTGAGCAAGCATGTCTTCTTGACACCAAATGTTGACCCTAAAATAGGATTTTCCTGTAGAGCTGCACAATGTTCTGCATGGATTTCTTTAGTACGAAAAACCATACCAGGGTCATCTTCAGTGAAGACGGACTGCTAAATCTCCTTTGGTAGTTAAACAAATCTACAACAATATGTTGCGCTGAAACACTCAACAAAACCAAAACAGCCCGTGTAACAGATTATCACCTGTTACTTGAATAACAGATCCTAGCAATGGTGAGTCAGAGAAAGGCACCTCTATCCCTTGCATTTCCAGTATTTTAAGATCATCAGTGAGAGGCTTTAGTATTGCATCAAATCCATATTTTTTCAGGTCTTGTGCATGAAAAAGTGCCACGACATGAATATTCATCAGCACAGAATTACATTTTGGGGTAGGTTCCTCAATATGAAGTAAATACAACCAAGTTTGTGTATACCCTTCTTTGAACCTAAGGGATTTGCTGTCTCAAAATCGTCATAATAGAGTTGAACCTGTAGAGCGTGTTTTTGCTTGGAAAACAAATCATTGCTTTTGAAATATGAACCATCACTTATGTCTTTATAAGTACCTTCTTCTTGTTGTTTTGCCTGCAGGAATAATTCACATAGTTCACTGTTCTTAAATATGGACTTAAGGGTTCCCAACAAGGGTACATACACAAATGTATCTGTTACAGGTATCTGATTGTAAACTCCTGTTGTTCGATCTCTGCGTAAATCAAATCTGACCCCAAGAACATACTCAACAGGTTCAACAATCTCCCACTTTTCTTCAAAGAACCTTTGTCGTTTGGATCCTGTATTAAAGGATGTGAAAGGATTCTCTAGCTGATCAAAACTATTTTCCAACTTTTTACCCAAATCAGTGCCTTGGACCTCTGAACTGCAGTTGAGAACTGCATCTCTTGCTTGTCTATGAATATCATTTACAAGCTCTTCCATGGACCCCACCATTGCTTGGACAGTGCTCTCAGCAACACCAGATGCTTGTAACTGGGCTACAACAGAACCACACATGTTTAACACGTGCTGTTTATCAAAAGTAACCTGGGAGGTTACGGAAGTGTCAGTACAAACTGCCTGAGAAACTTGGAGATTCATCAGTTTCTCGTTGAGTGTCCACATTGTCCATAGTACTAGTTGAACCAGTGTCCCTGTGCAGACTGAAGAGGTGCTTTTTGAACCCTGAATAAGTACAATAGGATAAAGAACATCCCGGCTGGCCACATTTCAAACGTAATGACTTTCCAGGATATAAACCATGGTGAAATTTCAAATGCTGACAAAGCAATGCAGAACTTTTGTGGTGTCCCCTTACGGCCCGTCCACACAGCGGCGTGCGTTGAAGCTTCCAACGCTTCTGCCCATTCACTTTGAATGGGGTGACGTCACTTTTAGCCGAACTGCATTTTGGGAAGCGACGTGGAGCATTGCTGGCGTAGCTGCGTCAAAGTTGAGCAATGTTCAACTTTTGACGCCTCGACGGAGGCGTCAGCCAATGAAATCCCGTTTATTCAAATCTGCCAGTACAATCGCTAGCCAATCAAACCGCGTGTATGCTGGGAGAGACTACGCAGGTCATTTCCTCATATTCAAAAAAATTGAGGGAAAATTCATTGTAGCGGTAGTGAATCACCCGGTGCTGTATGATCAGTCTCTGTTCATCTACCGGGATACAAACCGGAGGAGCGAGGCATGGAGGGAGGTGGCAGAGACAGTGGGTGAAACTGGTAGGTTTTCGCCTGTTTGGGGATTTTATATCCAGTTTACTTCGTTTTAACATTGCTATTGCTTTGTATGTCGGGGGCGGGAGATTCATGTGATTGGTTTTTGGTCGTGTTGCTCGCAAAAAATCCCCAAGCTTCAGATACGCCCACCTCCAAGCGTCAACGCACGCTGCTGTGTGGACGCTCCGTTACAGATAAAACAAATCAGCATATTTGCATCCAGTGATGTAAATAACTTCAGATATCAGTGTGCAGAAGCCTTGCTCTGAGTCCTTTGACTCTGGGACTTTCCTTGGCACTTCCAATATCAATGTTAAATACCGTGGTTTGTATGAAAGTGTAGAAGCTGGTGAGGGATTCATGGTAGTTGACATTGAAGATGAAGTGAGCTTTGAAGAGTTCATCGAAGGCTGCCATGGATGTCTGCCCCTTGCAAGGGATGGCCTTGTGGTCAACGATGACGTAGAACCGTTGAATGTTGTTCTTCTGTTCACCAACACACAGCAGGAAGGGCTGCCCTGGTTCCAAACTCGAAAGGAAGGTCTCAACACTGGCTCCAATCTGCAAAAACGTAGAGAGACAGAGAAGTTTTAATGGCATACTAAGCTACTTAAAACAAAATTGTCCCAACTCAAGGAGTGCCAGTGATATAACAACTGCATACAAAAACTAAAATAATGCCTACCTTGAGATATCTCACAACATGGCTGACAGCTTGATACGAGCTAATTTTAGCACTCTTCTTATGGCCTTTTGAGGTTGGGGGGAGTAGATGAACCAAGAGTAGAATGCTTGACAGGTCACTGTCCCATCCTAGGGGCAAAAAAATATGCAAATATAACAGTCAGTCGTTTAAAGCTGAAATAGTCTTAAATCAAGGTTATGCAACCGATAACATTGAAAGGTCTCAAGATTTTCATTAAACAAAATCTGCAAGAGAAAATACTTGCCTGACTAATTTGAGTTTTGTTGTACAGACAAGAGGTCATCAACATGAACATTAGAGTGTAGGTTCTTGCAGTCTGCCAAGATCCTAGGTTTGAAGAAAGTGGGCCATCTCGCCAACATTTTTCCAGAAATCTCTTCTCCAAACATCATTGTGAAATCTTGGTCAACCTACAGGAGAAACACCATGAGTCATGGCAACCCCTCAGACCATCCAAATAATAAACTAAATATGACATGTTGTTCTTACCAAGCCAGGGATGTCGAGGAAACGAGGAAACACATCCAGGACTGTTGAAGAGGCTTGCTGGTCCCGAGTCATTGCTTGCCGACACTGAAATGTTGCCTTCATCTTCTCTTTGACAACTGATTCGTCAGCTGAATGCTTTATGAAGGATATTGCCTCTCTGCATTCCTCGCCAGTCAGTTGCTCACAAGTCAAGAGAAAATCCCTCTTGCTCTTTGGACCATCTTGATAGGTAGTGCTGGGGTAGCACCTCCGGGACTGAACCGCAGTGTTGCGCTGAACCGTCTTTATCCTCCATGCCAAGTAGCCAGATCCACCATCTGCATCATAGTAGTGTTCCTGTAACATCCAAAAATAAATCAAAACTGAGAACACAGAAGTGATAGCATTACAGGAAGGTTGTTCAAAAAGTTAAGAATGAACACACTTCCTTTTCACAAATTCGAATACAGGTCATTCATTCATAGACTTACGTATCCATTCTTTGAGTATGGATCTCTTAGACATGGAAATAGAGTGATGATGCCAAGAGCACACTTTTCTCGCACATGTGTTGGCGGGATCCTCCTTTAAAAAAAATATATATATATTTGATCTTAAAAGTATAAATGCCTTACAGCTTTAGATTGTTTTAACATGTGAGCAGCGGTTTCCAAAATGTACATTACTTAGCACTATCTGTGAAAACATGATTAACACCAAAAGGGAATATTCAGTCCTTACCCATGAACTTCGATCATGTCAGCCACCAGTAGGTTTACCATCTGTCGTCGTGTACCATCCATCAATGTTCTTTAGTTGTAAAGAAGAATCATATGGGAAGTCATTATCTTGGGCATTCCATACAAATCATAGGTTATCTGCCCAATATATCCATGTTTAATGATTAATAAAGAACTGAGTAAATTGCAAAAGTGTAGTCCCCTGTACCTCTTGGCTGATTCCCGATCAGCGTGGACTCTTTTCACCTCCACTGTCTCTCTCAAGAACTATTCTTGCATCTGATGAATCAGACACCGCAGAGGATGAAGCATTGGTCACGGAGAATGAGGTGTCTGAAAGGTCCGACTCCAGCAAAGTGTGCGATACATTTTGAAGCACAACTGCAAGATAGATAAAAGAATGACATACTCAATGAAAGAAGAAAAAAAACATACTTTCAGCCCTCCAAACGATGTTACAGGGTAATCTCAGCAAAAAACTCAGTAGGGATGGGTCCCTGATTTTCCATTGCGAGTCTGAATCATACCTGAAGACTGTCCTGTGGACACTTTGACTGTAAGGTTCCCTGCTTGTAAAAGCTCTTCAAAGACATCTGCATCCACCTCTGTCCCTGATTCATCAGTCAAGTGCAGCTCACTCTGTAATGGTAAACCTAACTGTTCTATGACTGAGAGAGAATATTGAAATGTACCACCTGACAATATTGGTACGTTAACTAAAACAAGATTCATTTGTTAGACTCAAACAATCAGTGATATGTATTCAAGTTATCCATACCTTTCTGAAGAAATGTACTGTAGCTTTCATAGCCTTCTTCAGTCTCAGACACTTTCACATATTTCTGGCTTTCGCCATATCTTACTTTCACCAACATGGTGTCCTATAAGAATACAAATGTATTAGCAAACATATTACAGAAATATCTAACAGACCTGTTGCTACAAAAATATAATTATGCATTTAAGTGTCGTTGAAATAATTTAGCAAAATGCTAACAGTGGAGCTCAACACCAGTGGCTAACGATAGCAGTATTACTGACATGTGGAGCTGAACATGCTAACACGTGGAGCTAAAAACCCGTGGCTAACGATAGCAGCTAATATGACTGACAAGTTGAGCTATTAGCCTTGGGTGTTTAGCTTCACATGTTAGTAATATATATTAAAGTAGCATATATTAGCCTCACATCTCATTCATATTGCAGGAGCTACTATTGTTGGTCACAGGTGTTTACCTCCACGTGTTAGTTAGTAATATTAGCTACTATGGCGTTTAGCTCCACCTGTTAATATGAGTTGCTATCGTTAGCCGCAGGTGTTTAGCTTTACTTATAGCAGCTAAACTTACTAACACTTTAAGCTTACAACCCGCGGCTAACAATAGCAGCTAATATACTAACACATGTAAGGAACATGTCTGTCTTATAGACAGAGTTAACATGTGACTTGTCCTTCAAATTTACGGAAGTCCGCACAATGGAAATGTGATGTCAACTACCAATGTAAATTCCCCGCCGATGGCACGACAAATGTTACCAACTATGCCTACACACATGCAACCTTTGGGGGTTCTATTTGTTGTTATTCAGTGTTACCAGGGGGCACGAACTTCTGACCGGTGTTCCCTCTTGGTTTAGTCCGTGGGGGAGTGCTTAAGTGTGGGTACACAGGTTCACCTGGTGCACAAGGTTATGGAGGTGGGGGTCTTGCTGGTGCTCAAGTGCCCATATACATCACCCCATGTTGCCATGACTGTTACCCGGCTAAAGAGACACTAGTTCGGGGTAAACTGTATCCATGTTGCCCCCTGGTTCTTGTTCCTTGTACCCTGGATGCATGTAGATGGGCCTGGAAGAATGCAATGTGGAGTTCCAATGAAAATCGGCTTAAGTCCAGTCAGGGTCTGGACATGTTGCCATGACTGTTACCCGGCTAAAGAGACACTATTTCGGGGTAAACTGTATCCATGTTGCCCCCTGTTCCTTGTACCCTGGATGCATGTAGATGGGCCTGGAAGAATGCAATGTGGAGTTCCAATGCAAATCGGCTTAAGTCCAGTCAGGGTCTGGACATGTTGCCATGACTGGTACCCGCCTTAAGAGACACTATTTCGGGGTAAACTGTATCCATGTTGACCCCTGGTTCTTCATCCTTATACCCTGGATGTATGTTGGTGTCCCTGGAAGAATGCAATGTGGAGTTCCAATGAAAATCGGCTTAAGTCCAGTCAGGGTCTGGACATGTTGCCATGACTGGTACCCGCCTTAAGAGACACTATTTCGGGGTAAACTGTATCCATGTTGCCCCCTGGTTCTTGTTCCTTATACCCTGGATGTATGTTGGTGTCCCTGGAAGAATGCAATGTGGAGTTCCAATGCAAATCGGCTTAAGTCCAGTCAGGGTCTGGACATGTTGCCATGACTGGTACCCGCCTTAAGAGACACTATTTCGGGGTAAACTGTATCCATGTTGACCCCTGGTTCTTCATCCTTATACCCTGGATGTATGTTGGTGTCCCTGGAAGAATGCAATGAAAATCGGCTTAAGTCCAGTCAGGGTCTGGACATGTTGCCATGACTGGTACCCGCCTTAAGAGACACTATTTCGGGGTAAACTGTATCCATGTTGACCCCTGGTTCTTCTCTCCTGGTGTCCATTTCATGTATATTTCCTCGTGTCCATTTCATGTACATTTCCTCGTGTCCATTTCATGTACATTTGATGGGGGAGTCACATGTGGATGAAATGGACCCAATTCCCGGAGGTTCCGGGCCGAATTTGGGAGCTCATATGCGGCCTGCCGTGCACCCCCACCCGTGGAAAGCAAAAAAAAGTAAATAAAACGGTCAATTATATCTTAAATTCATCAAAAACTACGTTTTTAAAAATTCTCGAAAAACGGCTAAGTGCCAACGGGTGAGGGGGTCAACCCTTCGGCGCTTCGGGCGGAAGCCCCGGAGACATTTCCACTGACCCGTTGCACTTTTCAACGTAGAGGGGAATTCAGACCTCCCCTCCTCCGTTAACAATTTTCATTCATCTTTTCCAAGCTACCTTCTGCACGAAATCGGAAACCCGGTTTTTGAGAGCACTTAGAAAAAAACGGCCTATTTCTCATGATGGGGAAATCATGGAGGAATGCGTCCGATGAGTGAGCACTTTGGATCGGATACAATTGTTGCCCGGAGGACCCCCAATCACGGTTCTTACAAAACTTTAAGTTTTTGAACTGGCCTCTGGAGGAATGCAAGGGGAGTTTCCACGGAATAACGAGACACTATTTTCGGACACATTTTATCCATTTTAACCCCTTTCTCTGGTTCTTCCAAAAGTTAACTTTAACTTATTTTGCCTCTGGAGGAATGCAAGGGGAGTTGCCAGGGGACTCTACCTGCATTATGAGGCACTATTCCCGGACACATTTTCACCATTTTCACCCCTTTCTCTGGTTCTTCCAAAAGTTAACTTTAACTTTTTCTGACTCTGGAGGAATGTAGGGTGAGTTGTCAGGGGACTCGACCCGCCTTAGGAGGCACTATTCCCGGATACATTTTATCCATTTTAACCCCTTTCTCTGGTTCTTCCAAAAGTTAACTTTAACTTTTTCTGACTCTGGAGGAATGCAAGGGGAGTTGCCAGGGGACTCTACCTGCATTATGAGGCACTATTTCCGGACACATTTTCACCATTTTCACCCCTTTCTCTGGTTCTTCCAAAAGTTAACTTTAACTTTTTCTGACTCTGGAGGAATGTAGGGTGAGTTGTCAGGGGACTCGACCCGCCTTAGGAGGCACTATTCCCGGATACATTTGATCCATTGTCACCCCCTTTCTCTGGTTCTCTGGTTGCATCCGTCTCTGGATCATGGAAGAATGCATCCGCTGCATGAGGACTTTGGATCGGATACAATTGTTGCCTGGATGACCCCCAATCATGGTTCTTACCAAACTTAACGTTTTGAACTGGTCTCCGGAAGAAAGTAAGGGGAGTTGCCAGGGGACTCGACCCGCCTTAGGAGGCACTATTCCCGGATACATTTTATCCATTTTAACCCCTTTCTCTGGTTCTTCCAAAAGTTAACTTTAACTTTTTCTGACTCTGGAGGAATGCAAGGGGAGTTGCCAGGGGACTCTACCTGCATTATGAGGCACTATTTCCGGACACATTTTCACCATTTTCACCCCTTTCTCTGGTTCTTCCAAAAGTTAACTTTAACTTTTTCTGACTCTGGAGGAATGTAGGGTGAGTTGTCAGGGGACTCGACCCGCCTTAGGAGGCACTATTCCCGGATACATTTGATCCATTGTCACCCCTTTCTCTGGTTCTCTGGTTGCATCCGTCTCTGGATCATGGAAGAATGCATCCGCTGCATGAGGACTTTGGATCGGATACAATTGTTGCCTGGATGACCCCCAATCATGGTTCTTACCAAACTTAACGTTTTGAACTGGTCTCCGGAAGAAAGTAAGGGGAGTTGCCAGGGGACTCGACTCACCTTAGGAGGCACTATTTCACCCAGTTTTGGCTCCCGCCTTGCCTGGATGATAGGACCGATAGATGACAGGGATCTCTGCCCGCCTAACGAGTGCCTAAATGGGACACCTTTCGCACGATGATGCAAATGGGTTATTTATTGAAAATAAACCGGAGAGATTTGACATGGGGTCTTTCTAGTTCGCTGAGTGCAACTTTCTTATTTTCACCTATCCTTCTTTGTCCCCCCCGGTTCTATACATTATACTGGTGACACTTCCCGGTACCGAAATGCTCAGGCATACAAAAATGATGGCGATCGGTTGTCCTATCTGTAATAGTCCCTACCGTGCCCTGAGCAAGCACCTGCTGAGGAACCATAGTGTGCGTAATTTAGTTGAAAGAAGAATTCTGCTGTTGTTGGCGAAAGGACGGATAAACATTAGGCTGCGAGTACATCGGGACAAGGCTGGACCGCCACTTGTACAGAAACCATGTTGAGCTGTCCCGGCAGGAATTACATGTGGTTTTAACTAAACTAAAAATGAAAGTGGCCACGAAGAAGCTTCATGAACTCAGTTTGACAAACCCCACAGTAGCAATGATTACCTCTTGGGATGTGGACACTGTGGGTGATGATGTCCTGTCACAACCTCCACCCTTGTCCCCAGTGATTAAATGTGACAACCCGGACTGTAAGGAATGGAGGATGGATGCAAACAGAATGAAGGCTCAGAGGGACATATATGCTGCTGAGGTGAAATCCCTGCGCTGCATGCTGCAGCAGAGGATTAAACGTAACCGAAAGAGGATGAACCAGAGGGCCGAGGACCAAGAGCGGGTGTTTCTAAGGAAACGATCCCGAACAGAGTCAACACCAAAGAGGCTGTCCAAGTCCAAAGGTCCCTCCTGCAGGAAGTCCCCCATTGCCTCTCACACACCTGTATCCAGCTCCTCAGAACCTGCATCCATAGATACCGAGGCCTCGTCATCCTCCCCTCCCATACATTCCCCCTGGTTCAGCGGCAGGGGCCGGGGGAATCGAATGCGGGACATTACATTCCCACGCATCATGGAGAAGTATCTGCAAGGCTACCGGGGACCATTATGAGGGCATCGATCCAACAGTGAGGCTCCAAGAAAACGCAGTCTCCAAAATAAGCAGAGTCAAATCATTCCTAAGCTTCATGGCACACGGTTTCAATCGCCTGTCTGACTGGCTCTTTTTGAGGGATCTGAAGAGGATACGTGGGTGGTCCCGGAGCCTGATAAAGTCAAGCCTACAGGTCACGACATCTGACTTCTATATCAAAAATATATCACACTTTCTCAAGTACATGAATGAAACACCATGCAAGGGGAGCAGGCTCAACCAGAATGACATGATTTTAATCACACGGGAAGTTGCTGCCATCCTGAAGTCCATGAGAAGGAAGGTGTGTATCCACCAGATGCAGGTGAAGCGGGACAAGATGGAAGGTCTGCCAAGCCATAAAGACATCATGGCATGTTTGACTGCGGCCAAAACTCGCATCCCTCAGCTCCTGGACGTGATGACCAGCAATCCGACTCACGCAACCCGGAGCCTGCTCTATGGGTACATGACCCTCAATTGGAGCTGCATTTATGGGCACCGTCCGGGGGTCTACTCCAACATGACCAACACGGAGGTCCTAAAGGCGGAGATAACTGGCACTGCCTTTGGCCACCTCATCCACGTGAGTGAGCTATTAAAACATGTGTTTATTCTGGCAGTGATACACATGTTGTGGATGATTGATACTTGTATTGACGCTCTCTAACTCTGTCATAACAGGTAAGCAACCACAAGACGGCCAACGCGTTCGGGGAAGCGCAGATGTACCTCACCATAGAAGAATTTGGATGGATGAAGAGGTGGCTGGAAATCAAGGGGACGCTGACCGGCACCAACAACCGCTACTTCCTCTGCATAGCGGGGAAGAACCCATCGAGGAACCTTGCCACCTTCCTGAGGTTAGCATGGGCTGATGTTGGACTAAAAGGTCCCATTAACTTCACCGACCTCCGCACAGTCCACGCCGATAATGCGAAGAGGTTTCAGGACATAAGCAACCGCCAAAGAGTGAGTGATTTCATGTGTCACAACACTGCAACTGCAGACAAATGTTATGCCAAGAATCCTTCTTTGAAAGAGGCTGCGGACATACGAATGCTCTTCACAGAGTCACTGCAAGCAGCGGCCGCAGCAGCATCAGGGGTGAGTGAAGACAATTTGGGGGACATTGACATCCACAGTGACCGTGACAGCTCTGGAGAGGAGCATAGCCCTACTCCCTACCAAGACTCCACCAATACCGAGACGTCAGATGAAGAATTATACAAAGACTTCAACGCTTGGAGAGCGGCGAAGAGGGAACAGTCAATGGCCAGACACGGGTGAAGAGAGGGTGCCAGCCTCTGCACCAACTTCACCCGATACGGACAATGTTGCCAGTGACCAACTTGTAAATATGCAATGTTTTGTTGTACTCAGTCCGCTTGTGCTGGATGAGTTAATAATGTTATAATGTTATAAAGTGTCAATGTATATATTTCTGTAAATAAAGTTTGTTAAAATTACTTAATTTGTCCTCTTTTTTATAACCCAATATGGGTGTTTCCCCTTTAAGATCCCCAGGGGCACGAGGTTCTGGTGGTGTGCATGAAGGGGTTTAGTCCGCGTGAGGAGTGCTCAAATGTGGGAGGATGTGTAAGGCAGAGGAGGGTAAAACAAGTTAAAGTGTGAACCTCCAGCAGGGCAGGTGGTGCTGCTGTGAATAAAGCCGACTATGGAGTCCGATGGGCGGACTGTAAAGCACCGCAAAATACACCCCCTGATAGGTAACCAGGGCCATGAGAACATCCTCCACAGGAGGGTGGGTGGTGCTGCTGTGAATAAGGCCGACTATGGAGTCCGATGGGCGGACTGTAAAGCACCGCAAAATACACCTCCTGATAGGTAACCAGGGCCATGAGAACATCCTCCACAGGAGGGTGGGTGCTGCTGTGAATAAGGCCGACTATGGAGTCCGATGGGCGGACTGTAAAGCACCGCAAAATACACCCCCTTATAGGTTACCAGGGCCATGAGAACATCCGGTACAGGAGGGTGGGTGCTGCTGTGAATAAGGCCGACTATGGATGCCGATGTGCGGACTGTAAAGCACCGCAAAATACACCCCCCTTATAGGTTACCAGGGCCATGAGAACATCCTCCATAGGAGGGTGGGTGCTGCTGTGAATAAGGCCGACTATGGATGCCGATGTGCGGACGGTAAAGCACCGCAAAATACACCCCCTTATAGGTTACCAGGGTCACGAGTTTCTTGAGGGTGTAATCATCTGGGTTTAGTCCGTGGGGGAGTGCTTAAGTTCGGGGGCCCGGGGTCCCAAAGTGCGCGAGGTTATGGAAGTACGCATTTCAGGGAGATATGCTGGAGGTCTGTAGTCCGTGTTTTGGGGCTCTGTGAGCGGCCACATAGAGGTGGTTTTCCCGGTGTATGTCATGGAAGTCTGACATAGGCTATTTCACAGGACACAGGCTGTTTGCCCATGTCAAATTTTATTATGAGGCACTATTTTGGGATACATTTTATCCATTTTAACCCCTTTCTCTGGTTCTTCCAAAAGTTCACTTATACTTATTTAGCCTGTGGAGGAATGCAAGGGGAGTTCTCAGGGGAGTCTCCCTGCATTATGAGGCACTATTTTGGGATACATTTTATCCATTTTAACCCCTTTCTCTGGTTCTTCCAAAAGTTAACTTTAACTTTGTCTATTTATTCATAAATAGCACATTCTGAATGACCCAGTGTACACATGGTTGTGTACCTCTGTGTCACAGCCCGCTGCTTCTCTCCCTCCCTGCATTATGAGGCACTATTCCCGGGTACATTTTTATCCATTTTAACCCCTTTCTCTGGTTCTTCCAAAAGTTCACTTATACTTATTTAGCCTGTGGAGGAATGCAAGGGGAGTTACCAGGGGACTCTACCTGCATTATGATGCACTATTCCCGGGTACATTTTAACCCCTTTCTCTGGTTCTTCCAAAAGTAAACTTTAACTTATTTAGCCTGTGGAGGAATGCAAGGGTAGTTATCATGGGACTCTACCTGCATTATGAGGCACTATTTTGGGATACATTTTATCCATTCTGTACATTTGGCTTACCGCGACTGGTAGTTAATGTCCCTACGGGGTACGCGTATATCCCTAAGGTATGTAAGGGCAGTTGTCAGAGGACTGTACCTGCATTAAGAGACACTATTTTTGGGATACAATTTTCACCCCTTTTCTATTGTTCTCTGATGCCTGGAGACCCCCCCAGCCTGGTTCTTAACTTTAAGTCCAAACTGGTCTCTGGAGGAATGCAAGGGGAGTCGAAAGGGGACTCTTCTTGCTGTTTGTCTTGTCAAAATTGAGGGGTGTGTTTGAGGGGAGGGCCCTGGCTGTTTCGGCAGCCTCCGCTCCTCTCTTCTCTCCCTCCCCGAGACCAGCTCGTGCTCCCGCTGTAAAAGGCAGGTGCGCGGGCACCCACTGCCACTCATTCTGAGCCTGGCTCCGAGCAGCGCGTTCTCCCCGGCAGTCCGCCAGCAGATGAAAAACACCCACCTCTCCGCCTCTTCCGAGGGACGAGGGAACCGCGCGGGGGGGTCTGCTGGAGGCTCCTGCCGGGTGCTCCGTCCTGCGTTTCACCGGGACCCGGCTCCAACACTCGGAAACTCTGACTCCAGCGCGGTGTGGCTGCCTCGCCCTGGCCGTCCACCGTGCGCCCCTCCGGGTACCTGACTCCCCTGCCTCCTCCGGGTGCAGGTGTGAGGGGTTCAATGCCTCCTCCCCCCGCTGCGGTGAATGCCGGAGCGGGATGGAGCGCCCGGCGGGGTACTGTTGTCCCCACGTTACCATGTTGTCTGGAGGATAGGACCGAGAGATGACATACTCTCTACCCGGGTTACAAGTCACTATTTTCGGACACTTTCTTTGCTTTACCCCGGTTCTATCACTCTTTCCTCCTTTGACCATAAAACGTGTTTCCTGCTGGGGGTACTGCCTGGTTCCGGGGCACCACAAACCCTCTCATGGTCGGGCCACCATGAATTGATGCATCGGACCCAATGTTGCCATCACCAGCCCCGCGTTGGTGCGGAGGTGGGACCATTTTGCCAGGTGGTAACCCAAGTCCTCCTTTGGTCCGTGTACCAGGCATTGAAGCATTGAACTTTTGTTGCAATTACCGGTTACGCTAACGCATATAAACGGAGAAACACAACATAATTTAAATACAGTTAACTGTGTCTGTTTCAGTAAGGATGTCGTCCGAATGCCCGGTGTGCAGACTCTTCTATCTGGCTTTGAACAAGCACCTTAAGCACAAACATGCAATGCGGAACTTGGAGGAAAGAGGCATCATTCTTAAAATGGCTAGTGGCAGAATAAATGTTCGGACCAAACCCTGTCCCATCACAGGGTGTTCGTATGCTGTGTTAACTGTGTTCTTATTCTCAGCGTCCAGGAAAGAGAAGCTTAAAAGGGAGACTAAATGGAGTCTCTGGAGGTTCAAAATTGGTAGGCAAGGCAAGGCAAGGCAAGTTTAATTATATAGCACTTTTCAACACAAGGCAATTCAAAGTGCTTTACAAAAAATGAAAGAGATTAAGAAAATGGCAGTCATTAAAAAGAAAAGCTAATAAAATAAACATTAAAGAAAAAATACATGGATAAAAGTTACAGTGCTGTCAATTAAACATTAAAAGAAAAAAAGTACATGGATAAAAGTTACAGTGCAGTCTAAGATATGAATAGTTCAATTAAAAGCAGCGACAAAAAGAAAAGTCTTCAGCCTGGATTTAAAAGTAGTCAGAGTTGTAGCGGACCTGCAGGTTTCTGGGAGTTTGTTCCAGATATTTGGAGCATAATAACTGAACGCTGCTTTACCATGTTTAGTTCTGACTCTGGGGACAGAAAGCTGACCAGTCCCTGAAGACCTGAGAGATCTGGATGGTTCATAATTTAGCAGGAGGTCAGAAATGTATTTTGGGCCTAAACCATTCAGTGCTTTATAAACCAGCAGCAGTATTTTGAAATCTATTCTTTGACACACAGGAAGCCAGTGTAAAGACTTCAGAACTGGAGTGATGTGATCCACTTTCTTAGTGTTAGTGAGGACTCGAGCAGCAGCGTTCTGAATTAGCTGCAGCTTCCTAATAGATTTTTTAGTGAGACATGTGAAGACACCATTGCAGTAGTCGAGTCTACTGAAGATAAAAGCATGGACAAGTTTTTCCAAATCCTGCTGTGACATTAGTCTTTTAATCCTAGATATATTCTTTAGGTGATAGTAGGCTGATTTAGTAACAGTTTTAATGTGACTGTTGAAATTCAGGTCAGAGTCCATGACTACACCTAGATTTCTGGCTTTATCTGTTGTTTTGAACATTGCACACTGAAGCTCAGCGCTAACTTTTATACGTTCTGCCTTGGCTCCAAAAACCATTACCTCAGTTTTATCTTTGTTTAATTGGAGAAAGTTCTGACACATCCAGTCATTGATTTGTTCAATGCACTTACTCAGTGTTTGAATTGGAGCATAGTCTCCTGGTGAAATTGTTACGTAAATTTGTGTGTCATCTGCATAGCTATGGTAACTTATTTTGTTGTTCTTCATTATCTGAGCCAGTGGTAGCATGTAGATGTTAAAGAGAAGAGGCCCCAAGATGGAGCCTGGAGGAACCCCACATGTCATATTTGTCAACTCAGATGTGTATTTACCTATAGAAACAAAGTTGTTTCTGTCCTTTAAGTAGGATTCAAACCAATTCAGAACTGTTTCCGAAAGTCCCACCCAGTTCTCCAGTCGGTCTAGTAATATGCTGTGGTCAACAGTGTCAAACGCAGCACTGAGATCTAATAATACTAACACTGAAGTTCTGCCACTGTCTGTGTTTAAGTGGATGTCATATAAAGACCTTTACAAGAGCAGTCTCAGTGCTGTGGTTTGGACAAAAGCCTGACTGGAACACATCAAAACAGTTATTTAAATGCAAGAAATTACTCAACTGTTGAAAAACAACTTTTTCAATGATTTTACCTAGAAATGGGAGGTTTGATATGGGCCTGTAATTGTTCATTACTGAAGCATCTAGATTATTCTTTTTTAAGAGCGGTTTAATGACTGCAGTTTTCAGGGCCTGTGGAAAAATACCTGAGTGAAGAGATTTGTTTACTATATGAAGTAGATCTGAGGCCATGCAAGGCAAAACATCTTTGAAAAATCCTGTTGGAATAATATCAAGGCAGCAAGAGGAGGATTTCAGAAGTTGAATAATGTCCCTCTAGGTTTTTATCATTAATCTGATGGAATTGTGTCATGATGTCTGAATTGATGTTAAGTGGAGATAGG